AGATAATTAGAATCTACATTAACAAACGTTATTATAGCACTAAATAAAGAGGACACTTATATTTAGTATGATTTTAGTATTATCTTTTTGATTATAATTTGGACTTCCTTTTTATTTGGATCTCCAATTCTGAGATGAATCAAGAAAGAAATAAGTTTAAATTGGTTTTGATTTTGTTCCAATCTTAAGAATTATGATTAGTTTAATTTATATAATATTAAGAGATCTTATGTAATTAATGTCGTGATAAAAGTTTAATTTTATTTTCAATTATGTGTTTGAATACTTCTCTTTATTTATAATAATAGATAAAAAAAATATTATGTGGTAATCAAAGTTGAAAGAAACATATTGCGGTAATATTTTTCACATGCAGTATATAAATTTTTTTTTAAAAAATTTTATTTTAAAGTTTTTCAATTATTGTAGATTTCATATGGATGAGAAGGGAAGTCTATTGCTGAGTATTTCTTAGAAACATATGTATTTAGTAAGACCTTTTTTTTCTAATAAATCTTTATTGCATACAATTTGTATACAAAAATATATTTTTAGTGATATAAAACTATATTTTAAAAATTATTTTATACATAAATTATTTTTAAATAATATACTTTTTTTAACTGAAAATTAAATTCATAATATAAATTAATTTTACACATTTCTCTAATCATATCTTTTTTAATTAGGATAATTTTAAGAAACTAATGATATTACATTCAAAAATAATGACATTTGATCAGAATGAAACTTAAAACAAATCACCAGAAATATTTTATTTCAGTTAAGTGTCTGAAAAAGTTAGTATCAAAATACCAATCATTTAGTTGGAGACCTAACAAATGTATGAGAGAAAAAACAACAATCACCTTCCTTGAGTATTAACCACTGCTTGGTTAAACAATAATGAACTTGACCTTTGAGAAAATAACTAAAACTGTTAAAATCAACTTAACACACAAGAGACTTTTTAGTGTAAGTAAATACCTTTTAGCAAGAGTAAGCAAAATTCCCTGCAATATTATGACATTCTTGACTTAACTTACCTTTTTAAAGAGAGCAAACCTTCTGCCACTTTGAGTTTTCTTTTTACTAATTAGCTTAAGAAGAAAACTTATGTCTCCTTAAATTTCCAATCATCTTCCTTCTTAAAGAAACTCCTCCAACTGACCTGGGTTATCCATACAAAACTCGATCAAGACATCAAACTCTAGGATCAAATAAAGTCACTTCACTTTGAAAAAACATAGATAGTGGATACTTCTTCATTCCCTTAATACATAAGATCATAAATAAATCACCTTCTATTTCATCACAATTGAATGTTCCTTTTATTCTAGATACAAATCATAGAAACAAACCTCCAGCTCAATATGAGATAAATATTCAGTTCAAAAATCTTCATAAGAAGTCCATTTTTCAGTCAAACCAGATATAGAAAACTCAGACAGTTGCTCTTGAGATAAGCAGTGCATTCTGCTTTTACAAAGATCCAACATCTCCACATCTATATGAATGCTTTGAAATTGATATATCTTTTAGTCCAGTTCCAACATTCTTTTTAGCATCACAGACATGCTGAAGTCAGTACAAATGTCTTTGACATTTAGTCTAGACATCCTGTTCAATCTCCTCAACTCTTGATTGGATCACTTTCTAAGGAACATAATAACAAAAAGAAACATTTTATTAGAAACCAGAACCTAATCTCCTTCAGAGTTGAAAGCAAAAATAAATTTCTCTGTCTTTCTTCAATAACTTGTCACTTTCGTGTCAAAACTCTAGAGTTGAGATTTGAGAAAATTCTTCTTGATCAACCTCACATCTGCACTTTTTTCTTCCAAACACACTTAGATGTGCCTTTATGAGTGGACTTGAGAAATTCCCAAGTATCGTTGGCCCCAATTCAAGTGGTGTACAGTCTGGAATAAAAACACTTATCAATTCCATGATAATAGGATTGATAACTGATCTTTTCCATTGTTTTCCAAGCACCATGATTCTTCTAATATGATAAACTTCACAGTTCTATTGTCCATTGATAACCAGAATGGTATCACTCTAGCTTTCCATAAAACAGATAGTACTAGAAATTTATCTCCATGAAGCTCACCCAACAGACCAGGGCATGTGCTCTGATACCAATTAAAATTCTGGTACAAGCAGCACATACAAACAAATTTGTCTTAGCAGCAGATGATGTCGAGACAAATGTTATAACTTTTGGTAACAATATAGATCAATCAAGTTAAATATGATACAAAAAATAAAACTGCAGAATGATAAATAACACAATGAGTTGTTAACCCGGTTCGTTGCAACATCACCTACTTTTGGGGCTACCAAGCCAGGAAGGAAATCCATTATCAGCAATATTAGTTCAAAGTTAAACACCATTGTTTATAACTTCTCGCCCAATCCCTACCCAATGCAACTTCTACCTAGGTCCTCCGTAAATATGAGAAATCACCATCTCACTTTCTAAATCACCTCAGTGATATCTAACAGTCACAATTCCAGTAACTGCGACAAAAATTGACCCAATTTAGAAGATCATATTTCCATTATAATAACTCAAACTATTGTTTAAAAGCTTTGAGTGAGAATAATAACTTGACAAGCTGTCAAGTAACAATATTTCTACCACATAGTATCATAAGATACATGGGTGAATTACAATATGCACGAGAGACTTTTAAAAGCTAAGACTTATGCTTCCCCTAATTTTACAATTGTTGAAAATTTAAAATAGATTAGGTTAGGATTCCTCTATTTATAAACCTCGGCAGTCCACGGGCTTCCATATTCTGGTCCAAAAGTTTCTTGATCCATAAGCTCAATGATGCACCAATTGTGCAAACAATCTCCTTCGATCTTGGAACAAACTAATACATAGTTTCCTAATTTGTCTCAAGGCCCAAATCAGTATCTTCTGTACAACTGGTGATATAGTCTTATTCCAAAATAAATCTCTTGACCTGTGAAAATCTCTGATACATATCCAAAGGAAATATAACAGAAACAAATCAAATCCGTCAAGATTTAAAAATACAAGATCGCCTTGACTGCTGCACACTAGAACACGATGTCATGACATCCTGTTCGACATCTGGTCAAAACCATATTTTAGGTAAAAGTTGTCAACCCCAAAACCATGGTACTAACAATCTCCCCCTTTGGAAAATTTTGGCTAAAACAACCAAAGACCAAATAACATGGGAAGAGGAATACAACCAAAGAA